GTAGGGTACCCCATTCCTGGCAGTAAGAAAAGACATGCTGGGGTCCATGCTGGGGTCCATGCTGGTGTATTTTGTTTTCTGATGATTTCCCTCTACTAGATGATTATTCCATATGAAATCGTTCTTTTTTCTTCCCCAGGTGATGACTTTCAGATGAGTACTTTCCCAGATGATTATTTCCAGCTGATTACTATATATATATATAGCCTTTTCCAGACTTTTCTCCTAGAATGTACCTACCACTTTTCCAGACTTTTCCAGACTTTTCTCCTAGATGAGTACTTTTCCAGATTATTTTCCAGTATCTTCCAGTAGAATCTTCCGCAAGGCACCATGGATAGCATGTGCACAGAGGCCTCCTTGCTCTCGACTGCCTTGATTGACCTCACCAAGAAGATCGAACAGGTGGAGCCCAGGATAGCCCAGAGTAGTCCCGCTAGGAACAGGGTATCTAGCCCATGAACTATCGAGACTATCGTTATATAACTTATACCCTCTGGTTATGACTAACATAGCCATGGTATAGATGGCCCATAGAAATAGATGGTTTACCTGGGTTTACCTATTAAACATGGTGATTTTCCATGGCTCATGTTAAATAACAAGATGGTATATCTAGCATAAACCATAGTTACCTTAGTCATATAGCTACTATGAACCATAGTCATAGTGAATCCATGATACAAGGACATATTCAAAGTTGCTGCTGAAACAAGTCACTTGTATGGAAACCACTATAACTTAGTTGATAACAGTTGACATGGAACCCAAAAATGCAATATACCCTGAAAGCAGAAAACCGGATATGTTATTCTCCGGAGGGTGTTGCCCCAACAACATCTGATTGTTTTTCCTTCCTTCGATGGTTGTAGGTGCTATCTGCGCCCAGGTCCAGCTGAATCACACGGAGCTGGCCATTCGAGTCGCGCGGATTTCATGGGAAAATCCTTGGGATGGGCCGCAGGAGAGATTCTGGGGAAACCCAGACATTTCTAGGGGCAGAATGGACCAATGCCATCAAGCCACACCCCAAAGCAGGTGCTCTGGTCATGCGTTTTTTGGTTTCATAGTCCAGTTGGGAAGATCGACCAAAAACCCTGGAGGATTGGCCATGCCCATCTCGTTGCGAGTTTTGGTACTCGCCACAGCCGCTACGGAAAAAAGTTCAAGGAGCTGAACAGAAATAAATCCAGGTTTGATATTCACGTTGCCACCAATGTGATACACGCGCAAACACATGCACGGGCCCCCACACACACACACACATACATTGGGATGATATTAGTTATATGTATATATATATATATCTATATGTATATATATATATATGTGTGTGTGTTTTGGGTTGCAGGTATTTTTATATATATATATATACAATACACACGCATACGTATATATATATATAGATAGATAGATCGATGGATAGATAGATAGATAGATAGATATATATATATATAGAGCAACCCCTGAAAGATACTGTAAGTGTTTCCAGCAAGGTATAGACGATGTTTCCTCCATATGTTCCAGTTTTCTAACTTTTCTATCTATTATGGGGTTGCTATAGATATGGATGGACTTGGATTCTTGGTGGTCGTTCGCCTGAGCCAAGGCTGCTCCCCTCACGATTGGTCGAAAGTGAAGCGGATGCCCGGGCGGCGGCAATGCAGGAATGGGCAGATCGGTTCCAAGACTCGGAAGTTGCTTGGAGAACAATATTGGTACCATTGGTAACTATGAGGTATCGTTGATAACCATACAATGATACTATGAAGTTGATACCTTGATCTTTATTAATTATCATTGGGTGATCTTTGTACAGTTGCTAAAATTGATAGTGGATGATGATAGGAAGGGGAACTTGTTTATTGCGCCGGTGCATAGTTGATGGATGCTCATGGTTTATCAAGTCGATTCTTGGGAATCTGTCATGGCCAGCGAAAGATTTTAGCCTTTTCCGTCAGGATCTTTGAGCACAGAATCATAGAGAAATATAGAAACACCAGGGCGCTCACATCTACATCATCTAGATATATACCCTCTGGTAAACTAACATAACTATGGAAAATCACCATTTTTAATGGGTAAATCCACTATAAATGGTCATTTTCCATAGCTATGTTATATATCTATAAACATCTCCATATTTGCATATTTACATATCTACGTATCTGTACGCAAGTTCCTCTGTGTAATTTGATTGTCTATGGCTATTATTCTTGACCCAAGTCCTTTCCAAGCTGCTGCCTGGCATCCGTAATTTGCTGTGATCCAGACAGGCAACCGCAGATGTTTCACCCCTGCATGACTGCAGCGCGCAGAGGCTGTATGTGAAATTTATCAATCAATTTCAGCCAGAAATATGGGAAAAGTGATTCACGAGCTGAAACAACTTCTCCCTTTTTCTTTGTGGTGGCAGTGTATCTTAGACCAGCACAATGTGGCAAACCATGGTAAACTTCCATTTTACGATTACTGTTTTAAAAACATTTATATATGTTGTTTGGGTTTGCCACATTCAAAAGAATAATGTTAGTAAAGCCATAAAAACCATCCCCAGTTTTCCCATATTGACCATTAATTTAGTGTACATGGCTGGTTTATGACATTGCTTTACTACCATCAATGGTGATTAATGGTGATTAATGGTTACCAATGGCGGTTAATGATGACTAATGATGATTGAATCAAAAGTGTCAAATCATGGAGCGCACCAATGGTTGGACTCAGCGTTGTTGCTGGTTACCCTCTGGTAATTTGTTACATAGCTATTGAAAATGGCCATAGCAATAGTGGACTTACCCATCAAAAATGGTGGATCTTTGCATAGTTTTTTGTATTACCAGAGGGTAAACACTGCATCAAACATCCCCGTCAACACGTTGGCAAAGATGTGTGAAGATCACCAACCCCGAGGGTAAATCATCCGACATTTTCATGGTTTTTCAGCTGAAATCAAGTCCAGTGCCGCTGCCAGATGTCTCACCCACGACCTGCGGAAGAAGCGCAACACTGCGATGCCAAAGTCAGGGCGGAAGGGGGCTGCGATCTCCCCAGTTCGAGCCCAGTTTGATCACCCCAACTGGATGGGTGAATTCATCTGCTAATGTAGGTAAAACAATGCCATTTTTATCACCCATGACTGGGAATGGTGAACATACCATCTATAAAAATGGTGATTTGGGGGATGGTTTGTGATATGTTTTACCCGCATTAGTGCTTTCTTTTTTTAGCTGCTATAGCTGCTATAAATGGAACATAACAATAAACAGCAAAACACATTTTTTGTGGAGTATCAAAGGTTGACCATGAGATGATGAGGTGCGCCTAAATAAGAATCAAGTTCTTGGGTTTTTGTGAGCTTACGTTCTGTTTTGTAGGGGACGTAGCATCATGGATGATCGATGATTCTATCTAGATATATGATTATGATATTGATGATGGTGATGATGTTGATTATGATGTTGATGATGATGATGATGATGTTGATTATGATGTTGATGATGATGATGATGTTGATGATGATGATGATGTTGTTCTTGATGATGATGACGATATGGTGATTGAACTTGATGATGATGGTGATGATGATGATGATGATGATGGTGATGGTGATGATATGTGATGATAATGATGATGAGAAAAACATACATACATACATACATACATGCATGCATAGATAGATAGATAGATGGATGGATGGATGGATTGGATTGGATTGGATTGGATTGGATTGGATTGGATTGGATTAGATTAGATTAGATAAGATAGATAGATACACACTACACCTATGAAGTCAAAAGAGTGCACGGGACGCAGACGGATTTAGCTGGTGCTCACTTGTGAACATATCAAGGAGGTGGGGGATGTGGTTTAACCTAGCAGCTGGGGCCTATTCTAAATGATCCCATGAAAATCGGGGGACACACACGCAAACAATTTTAGAGTCATAAGCCACGAGTTGAAGATGTTTTACGGTTTTTGTGACCCCCTGTTTTTTCTTTTACTTCTGTCTCCCACTGCAGCTGATTCACACTTGATAAAATGGTCCAATTAGATCTGGTGAAAGCCGGTTTTGAAACCTTTGGAAACGGCGGAGACATCCATTTCCAGTATCTCAAAATGAAACATACTAACAGGAAATCTATTCCTGTCTATGGCTGACATTCAGTGGGATTTCCTTTATTGATGCTGATTTTCCATCCGCGTCGCCGCCTCGCCTCTTGGACCGGAGATGCAACAACCAGCAGACTGGCATAGATATAGCATAGGTCTGAAGAAAAGCTGTAGACGGAAAGCACAAAATGGTCCGAATAGCACTTTCGAACTTTCGGTTGGACGTTTGTTGTTGATTTTCGGAGTCAAAATTTCAATTGCGAAGGCAAGTGATGGTGTTTGTATGTGAACGTATGCCTTGATGTGCATAGCTGTGCATGCCATTGGAATTCAGTAGGATCAGAAATGGGGCCCATGACACAAACATATCTGAGCATTCTTTTCTTAATTTTCTTATCTATTTGTGAATGGTCCAAGCACAAAGATACAGGTAATTTTCATAGTCTTCCACCCGGGAATTTTTAGCCCATAGCCCCTAGCCGTTCATGCAATTTGACTTCACCTTGAGGGAAAATAGAAGAGACTACTTGGATGTGCATCCCAGTAAGTTACTTACACACACACATATATATATGTATATGTATATGTATATGTATATAATCATGTGTATATATATATATATATATATTTATATTTACACATATATATATATATACATGATTTTATACATATACATAAAATGGATATACCTCAGTTTTCAACGTGTTTATATCCATTATATACATAATATAAATATACATACGCACGCACACACACATATATATATGCATATTACATAAACCACTTACTTACTAAGTGGGATGCATATCCTTCCCTAGTCCTCCGGTGTCCTTTAAGAAGGGTTTGCCCAACGGTCGCGTATTTTCCACCCAACGCTTCCGTGACCGATGACGCACCAGCGGAATGGATTGCTGGAAGGCCATGGCTCGCACATCGAGTTCCAGGATCTCCAGTGGCTCGCCGAAGTCGGGGAGGTCATGGCGGTCATGGTGTCATGCTTGGTCAATCGATGTGAAAACGAATGATGTTTACCCGCTGGTAATTTGTTACATAGCTATTGAAAATGGCTATTTATAGTGGATTTACCCATTAAAAATGGTGATTTTCCATAGTTATGTTAGTTTACCAGAGGGTAATGGTGATTGGTGATTCATGGTGATTCATGGTGATTCATGGTGATTCATGGTGATTAATGATGATTCATGGTGATAAATGGTGATTGTATAATGGTGATTATATAATGGTGATTAATGGTCGGTTGGATTACCCTAAAGGGTAATTTTTCACATAATGTGGGAAACCCAATAATACACTTAGCATTAGCATTATGGTCATGGCAAATAGCACCCAATTATGGTGACTTTGGGTATGGTTTATTCTTGGGTTTACCACATAAGCCGTGACACATCACCATTTTTAGTAGGTAAATCCCCTATAAATGGGCGATTTTCCATGGCTGTATTAAATAGTTACCAAAGGGTAGGTTAAGCCATTAAATAATTGGGGATGGTGATCCATCCATTTTCATAAGGCTAGATAAATAAATAAATAAAACTACATATTGAACCTTCGGGATGGCGCTGGAGCGAGAGAGAGAGAGAAATATGAATAATAAATAAGTAAATAAACAAATCAATCAGTAAATACATATATAAATGAATAAAACTAATCTATCTATCTTTATATATATATATGTATATGTATGCCCTTTGTATACTTGGGGAATCTCGTCCAAGATGGTGGAATGACCATAGCTTTGATTCTCCCATCTATCTTGTGCCCAAGATAGCCTGGACTTAAAACTGGCAAACCATGCGTTTCAACGACCACCCGACGGGCTCCCCCCTGGTCATCCCAAACCGATGGTATGCTGAAATACAGCGACAGCATGCGACAGCTTTTCCTGATTTGGCCGATAGCTTCATTTTCAGCCCAGTCTTTTGACTTGTCTTGCAGGGTGCCTTAGATGAATGAGTGAATTACCCTCTGGTAAATTCACATAACTATTGAACATTGCGATTTATGGTTGATTCACCCATGAAAAATGGTGATTTTCAAAAGTTATGTCAAATTACCAGAGGGTAGGAGAATTCGGCATCAGCCAGATTCGATAGTTTCAACATGACCATCTGACATCCTCCTGAGAAGCTGACCCGACAGCTGGTCTGGACGGATGGCCATGGATGTGTAACTACCAGGGTAGTATATAAGTAGTTCAAACCCACAGATACGTGGTTGTTACACTAATATCCATAATCTGAATCATTGAATCAATATGAATCAATATGATAATATGAATCAATAAGCAATCTAGTAACTTGGCGAGTTACTCGTTAACTAGTTCATGTTTACACCAGATCAATCCACACCGAACGCCTGGCTCAAGCATCCTTCGCTATGGGCCCAACGGCTGGCCCAACAACCCGACGGAGTCGGAGGCAATGGAGGCACCTGAGACGATCCTGGCAGAAGTTGGCATCACCTTTGAGGAGTGATGAGAAAACATGGGACATATGGGATTTTTATGGATTTTTCATTCATACATACATACATACATACATGCAGACATGCAGACATGCAGACAGACAGACAGACAGACAGACATACAGACATACAGACAGACAGACATACAGACATACAGACATACAGACATACATAAAGACATACAGACATACATACATACATGCATACATGCATACATAGATACATACATAGATACATACATAGATACATACATAGATACATACATAGATACATACATAGATACATACATACATAGATACATAGATACACAGATACACAGATACATAGATACATAGATACACAGATACACAGATACATAGATACATAGATAGACACATAGATAGACACATAGATAGACACATAGATAGACACATACATAGATATAGACAGATAGATAGATAGATAGACAGACAGATAGATAGATTGATAGATAGATAGATAGCTAGATAGATAGATAGATAGATAGATAGATACATAGATAGATACATAGATAGATAGATAGATCGATAGATAAATAATTAAATAAATAGATAGATACACATATACATGGATACAACGATACATGGATGCATAGATACATTAGATTCATTAGGTACATTAGATGCATTAACATAGATACATCAGACACATAGATACATTAGATACATTAGATACATCAGATACACTAGATACACTAGATACATTAGATACATTAGATGCATTAGATACATTAGATGCATTAGATACATTAGATACATTAGATACATTAGATACATTAGATACATTAGATACATTAGATACATGAGATACATGAGATACATGAGATACATGAGATACATTAGATACATTAGATACATTAGATACATTAGATGCATTAGATGCATTAGTTACATTAGGTACATTAGGTACATTAGATACATGAGATACATTAGATACATTAGATACATTAAATACATTAGATACATTAGATACATTAGATACATTAGATACATTAGATACATTAGATACATTAGATACATTAGATACATTAGATACATTAGGTACATTAGATACATTAGATACATTAGATACATTAGATACATTAGATACATGAGATACATGAGATACATGAGATACATGAGATACATGAGATACATGAGATACATGAGATACATGAGATACATGAGATACATGAGATACATTAGATACATTAGATACATTAGATACATTAGATACATTAGATACATTAGATACATCAGATACATTAGATACATTATATACATTAGATACATTAGATACAATAGATACATTAGATACATTAGATACATTAGATACATACATTACATTACATTACATACATACATACTTACTTATTTACTTACTTACTTACTTACTTACATACTTACTTACATACTTGCATGCATGCATGCATGCATACAGACAGACAGACATACAGACAGACAGACATACATACATACATACATATATATATATATAATATGTTTACACACACATATATATATATATGCATATATATATATGTACGTATATATATATATTGTCTATCTATTTGACAGGCATCGTCAGATAACCTAATTTCAAGTGCATTTTTTTTTTTTGTGAACTGTGTTTTCTGTTTTTCCCGGTTTTGAAGTAGTGATGTTGCCTCTTGACTTTTTGAAGTTGACGGTTTCCAATGAACATGTAGGTGATCATATAACGGTGTAATTGTTCTTGTGCCCAACCCAGAAACTGTGATTGTTACATTTGGTGACTTGATGTGACTTGATGTGACTCGCATGATGCAACGGTCAAAATTGAGGTTAGATGGTGATTTATATATTCAGTTAAAATCAACTCCGGGTTTCCACGAAACAAACATGCTCTATCTATTTGTTTAATTGGGATGCAATCCGCAAATGCATGTGTGATCATGTGTGTCTTTTTATCAGTCAAAATCTGAGGCCGACCAGCAACTTGTGATTTGTGTCAAATTTTCCAAGTGGATGCGCAAACAAAAGTTGATTTAGGCAAACATTCTAAAATGTATCACTCCGACCTGAGCCTAACCTCCCAAGACTGATAATTGGGTTTCATGGTAGGTGGTTGGCCTGAGTTTTTGTGCCATTTTGTGGCACAGATAAGGACCTCCTGAGCTGCTGCCAAATATCTCATCTTGTCTCGTTGGGTTAATTTATATGCATGTATATAATATGCATACAATATTATGAACGCGTATATTACTTCTAGGTCTCCGAAAGCCCCAGAATTTCTGTGCCCCAGGCTGCGTTTTCCCACACCAGGAGGCTGAGGATCTTAAAGAGATCAGCTTTAAGAGTTCCATCCGAGAGCAGAAATTGATGGACATGAAACACTTGGAAGTCCCTTGACGCCATCTGGGGGGGGCGTAAATGGGACGAAATGGGAGTGTTTTTTCACCAACAAAGTGAGTGGGATATCATACATGATCTCACCATGAAAAATGGGGATTGATCCAACATACATGGTGTGACTAATGGGATACATACGAGGGGAATACTGAGAACAATTCTAGCGACATTTTTTGGCGACCTCCCACTGACAGAAAAAATCTAGCTCATGGGTTACAAATGATGTGAACACCAACCCTACGATTTGGGGAATGGGAAACCATGAGTTTCCATCAGGGAAACATTTGGGTTTCGATGCTTCGCTGGAACATGGAAGATGAACAGCCTGTCCAGTTTGAAGCTTCTCAGCCAGCTTTGGAGCCGGGGGGTGAGGGGTTGGCTCGTTTCAAAATACCCAATTTTGCTAGTTGGGTTACCCCAGTACCTTGAGGTGGTTCATTTGTTGATGACTTTAAGACTTTGGAAGCTGTGTTTTCCGCTCCGCTCCTACGGCACTCAGGTGGAAAGTGACATCTTGAGAGGTATCAGCCTGCGTCGAACGTTGAGGAGCTTCGGAGCGGTTTGGATGAAATCTGCTCAAGACCTTTCTCCTGATCAAAGGATAGAACGTGGCTTGCTCTAAGCACTTGTGCACTTGAATTCGTCGTGGGGCTCGTGTTTGACTTGGACATCGCTGGGAAGTCCTAGTGCTGTCTAAGAGTTCTGGCATTGATTTGGCAAACTGGCATTGATCACCACGTTTACTGTAGACAGCACTCGGCTCGCATGTACCGTTTTGTGGGTTTCATATGCACCAGTGCGGAGGTTGTGCCCCCCCCTGTCCCCCCAACAGCCACGTCAGATTCAGGGCGGCTCTTGACCATCTCTTGGGGGGGGTCACCAACCTCGGGGCTCCCGAGGTTGGCAGAAATCCGTCAAAGTGGATCGCTTCGACCTCTTCCTATCGCACACCTGGAGAACAGAAGGGCGTTGGAAATTCCTGTCGCTGCTGATGCAGTCCAGTTGGCAATTCTTCCTTGTGGGTCACTTCGGGTTGCAGACAGAGTGGCTGAGTTTTAGACTTGATTGATGAGAAGCCCACTAGTAATGGGGAACCTGTACAGGATCCTTGTCCCATAGTTGGGTTTGTCTGAAAACACCCCTAAATTCACTCTGGGTGATTATCATTTTCCCCAGTTGATTTGCAATTTGGCAACTAGACCCTGTCCAATTTTTGAGACACACCAAAAATATCCCAAAATATCATATCCACTTGGTCATGTACCTATAGAATATATGCCCTAGCCCGTGGACCCCGCGCAGCAAAAAGGAGTGAAAGGGGAAACAAAAAACAATATATTCCCACAGAGAGAGAGATATAATATAATAATATATATATATATATCGATTATATATAATATATAATATTTATATATCATTCAATATATATATATATGTATATTGTAATAAGTTAATATAATATAATATGGTATGATATGATATGATATAATATTACGTATATATATATATAGGCAATATATATATATATGCATATGTCCAATGATATATCCATTATATTCCCATCTCCCATCCATATGGCATGGGACCCGATCAAGTCATCAGGCTGGATGCTAGGGATCCTGGCCTCCTTGCCCTTCCACCTGTCAGATGAAACGCCCAGTCTGTTCAACTACGACTGCGAGAGCTGCTCGGCCGGGATTTTGGGGCGGGATTTTTTTCGTGTGTGGTTTTGGAAGTTTTTTTTTTTCAATCTTCCATGGATTGGTTTAAGGGAAAATTTACAGGAAAACCCGATATTTCATGGGAAAATCTATGGTTTCCAGTCAAGATTTTCCCTTAAACCAATCCATTCAAATATGGGTGTGTCTGAAAAGTGGTTAGTATACTCCAATCTATGAATACTTTAGCTTGGGAAAATGATGAAAACCATTAAACATCAACTTTTCTCTTATGTTTTTATTCATGTAGGATCGGCTTTTCTTTCTTTTTGGTGTGCGTTGCTCGAGTTTTTTTTCCCGCGGAAAACTCATCGTAGGTATGGATTGAAGGGTTCCATACCCCACGTTAACATGCATTGAACAATTAGTAGTTTGAACCCCGTCCTTTAATACTTCAACGCATTTGGCACCTTGTTTCTCCATGTTTCTCCCATTAGTGAAGGGGAATTTTGCAGGAATACCGTATTGATCAGATGATCATCCCATTTTCTTACCGTCGAAATAATCTGAAATACCTCTTCAGTCATTTTTTGTATTCCAAGTTATATCCAATGAACTAGCTCAGTTATATCAGTTATATCCCATGATTTTTTTCTCCAAGTCAAGTCCGACTGCTGCTTAGTCCAGGTATTGACTACGAAAGCAGCTGCTCTTTTCGCATCTACGGCCACTACTTCGGCCTCATCGGTTGGATCCTGGCTCTGCTTGTGGCCCCCTACTGGCCAGGTCACAGGCACACAACCGGTTTACAAAATGAGGGTGCAGATGGGGGATTTACCACGATTAATGGCTATTCGAAGGAAGTTTAGAAGTCAAACTTCCGACAATATGGACAGATGAAAAGCAGAGCAGGGAAGAGGCAGAGAGAAGAGAAATATTAGAAGAAAGAAGAGTAAGAAGAAAGAAGATGCAGATGCGCGAAAA